ACCAGGTCAGCATCTTCTGTGTGAAAAACTTTTCTTTAGGAAGTTTTGAGAGATGTCACCTGACATTTCATCAAGGCCCATAACTTGCTTTAAAAAAAAAATAGAGTTAGAAGAGGGCATTTTAAGCCACTAATCTGTCCAATCCTCTCTATCCCCCACCATTCATATTAAAGCATCTTTGATCAGTGTCTATCCAGATCCGCTTGAAGGCATTTAACAAAGAGAAGACAACCCCCCGCCTCTATGCAGGAAGAGCAAAGCCCGCGTGTTTGCCCCAGTTTCCTTCCTCCTCTGTTCGTTTCCTTTTCTGTGGTGCCTTTTAGACTGCCATCCCAAGGGAATGGATTGTCTAATTCTGGAGTTTTTAAAAACTGCTCTTGGAGCCTGTTTGATTGAAGAGTTGGGTATCAATGTTTTATATGAGGGAACCAAGGCAGAAGGGTGCTGTAGAAACACTGTAAGCAGTGGAGCCTGAACTAAATGACATGCAAGAAACTAAGGCCCTAACAACCACTGATTGATTATGTGCTATCAAGTCACTGTCGACTCCTAGCAACCACACAGATATTCTCCATGATGATCTGTCCCTAACCTGTTCTTTCAAGTCTCCCAACAGCGTGCTCATTGCCACTGTAAAGTTTAAGGTAAGTTACAGTGAAAAATTACATCTGGATTAGCCGAACTCTGGTTCACAAACCACATTGTGTGTTAAGACCTCACAAAAAGCCAAAATGTGGCTTGCCTGCTTGTAACTGAACATTGGTTGATGGCTGAATGTTGTATGAATCCCAAATTGGGGTTTATTTAGGAAACCTTTTAATGCATACCCACACGACATGCCAAAGCCACCAACAAGGAAGCCACATTTTAATTTAGAGTGGCGTCTAAGCCCAGCTACAGTCTGACATTGTGCTAAACCATGATTGGCTTAGCCATAACTGAATAAACTGCCATTGGCTGAGTTCATCTTTTGTATTAAGTCATGACTTGTTAAGCCCTGGCTTACTAGATACAAAACCACAGTGATTGAGACTGCTCAGTCCACTAAAACATTATAGGGTCTGAACTCAAAACCATGAGTGATGTTCAGAATTGTTATTTTAAAAAAAGATATCAGTCCCCTTTGAAATATAATTATTTGTAACAACTCATTGGCCGGGACCTAGTTACTGAAGCCTCAGGTGTCACCTACACAGCCCCTACAGAAAAAAATCAAAACAGTAATCGTGATTATGTCAAAAGGGGGAAATTGTTAAATATATGGGGGCAATTATTGTGTTTAATAAAATTGCCTTTATACCAGTCAAGCCCAATTTTTTACATGTGGCTTCCAGCAGGTCATTCAAAAGCCAAAGGCTTTAAAAGATTTGTAGAGTTGCTTGAGCAATCATCAGAATGATATAACATGGCAAAGTTCTGCTCTACAAATGTTCCTTCGTTGCAATCGTTGTTTTCTTAGCTGCAAGCAGAGAAGGGCCAAAATGTTTAGATCCATCTTTCAGAATCTGAAAAAGTAGAATCGTTCCTTGTTTACATCTAGAATGTAAATTGGTATTCTATCAAACTGCAGAGTAGACCAAGAGATTGGTGAAGGGTTTTGCAAAAGTACTTTTGACTGCATTTTTGTAGGGTATTGATACTGTTTCTTACATTGCTTAGTTGCTGAGTAAAAGTCTAAAACAGTATTAGAAGTGAAAAAGATATGCTTAGCAATTAATCCAGATTCCTTTTCGTTTTCTTTTTAAATAAAATGCCAACATGATGATGTTACCATAGTGCTATAGCAGGGAAAGAGGGAGATTTGGGGTCTGGAAAAGAACAGAATCTTGTGCCACCTTAAAGGCTGATAGATTTGATATCTCATTAGCTTTTGAGGACTGTATCCACTTCATCAGAACATTTGGTGCATCTGTTCAAGAGATTGCCAGACCTGTTAGTTCTTAAGGGCTCGAAGACTCTGAAGCTGGGTCCGCAAAACTCACCAAGCCATCACGGCCACATCTTGGCGGTTGGTTGACCATGTTGTGTGAACCCATTCCTTGTGCCCACAGTTTACTCTTTCCTGTACTGTGGAAGACCAGCTAATCATGGCTTATTCCACAAGCCATGATCAAACAACAGTGGTTAAACACAATGTGTGAACCAAGGCTTTGTTGTTTTTAAAGCAACAAGCTGCAAGGTTCCTCTCTCCAAAGTGCAGGTAGCTGTTTGTGAGCATTTAATGGCAAACCTTTGAGAATGCAGCAACATAGCTTCCAGTGGGATGGAGACTGTAAAACTTAGAACACCTCCATCCGTCTGGAAACGTTGGAAATCCTTTACAGGGCAGTTCATCCTGTAAAGCTGGAGTTCAGGGGAAAAGTATTGCTAGGAGAATCGCTCCCCCCTTCCCAGTTTAAACTTTCAGAATGTTGCCCGCATGCCGAAGAGAGAGAAAAAGCTTGACTGAAGTTGAAACGATGTGTTCAGTGCCAGAGGCTGAGCTTGTCCCAGTTTACTCAGAAGCAAATGCCTAAACCCAGTTGGGAGGGGAATCGTATCCCCCTCCCCAGGAAAAAAAGAACCTGTTTAACTCAAGGAAGAGGCCTCTCTCGCTCTTCCCATTTCGTATCACCCAGTGCCTCCAAAAGTGATGGAGAGAAAGGAAGTGCACCGTTGCCTCATTTGAAACCACCCCCTAAGGATGTTCAGCTTGTTATTAAGGGTCCCTCTGGAATAATAGCAAGTAGGACATCATATATTTTGGTTCTCCAGCAAGAAACTCTTCTGCCTTGCCCTTTGTCAGCATAACCCACATTCTTTAGACCAAGCAGAAGGAAAACCATGGCATTTTGCTGTCAGCAGAGGCAGTGATGACCGCCTATTTAAAAGGGGGCTAGACCACTCCATGGGCAATCAAGCTCTCATAGCATTCAATCACAGAGACCATGCCTGAATACCAACAGCTGCTGAGGAGCCACAGGAAAAAGAGCATCCCTGATGCATCTGGTTAGCAACTAGACGGGCCCTTGGCCTGATCCAGCCTCAGGGGGTGGCCTTAATGCACCACCATTCCAAGTGAAGCAGTGAGTTTCAGGACAAAGACCTTACAACACTGGAGGCCCTGTTCAAATCCCAAGCTGAACGCCTTTTTAAAAAGCCAGAGCAAAGAAGCCAACTTTTCCTCTTTTTCCAAACAAAAAGGGGTCAGTTCTCTATGTGTGTGTTCAGAGCCACACATACAGTTTCACAAATGCTGGCCTGCGGTTAAAAAGTGCAAAGAGTCCCACCAGATGCCTAGTGCCCCCAGCAAAACACCCCAAGTGGTTGCAATGCAAGTGGGGACGCCAGCAGATCCCTTTCTAAACAGGGGATGAAGCTCTGGTTTGGGCTCCAGTTCTTCTGAGTAAACCTGCAGGCTGCATCGCCTGGAAGAAAGGCTGTCAGGAGATGAAACCCCTTCCCCAAGGTATACAGATCGTGGCTGCCCTTTGTGCATGTTCAGAGGAAACCTGTTAGAGGGAAATTGGGGGGATCCAGGGTTTAGATTGGTTTGAATCCAGTACCCCCAGTAACCCTTGCCACTTGGCCAGGCCACCCTCTTGTGCCAAAAGTAAAAAACGGGGGATTTCAGAGCAGATGCGGGGCTGATGTCTTGGGGAGGCCAGCCCCTTCTTCCAGAAACAGCCGAGGCCAGGATCCCGACGTCCCCTCCTTTCTACACTAAGCCCTTGGCTCCTTTCCAACAAGCGAGCGCCGGGCTCTTCCAAAGCTTCCTTGGCTCCGGAAAGCTGGCTGCGCCGCGAAACTGGAACGAGGACCCGGCTCGACATTTCCCGCCTGTGATGCCAGCAAGGTCTGGCTTCCGAATAGCCCCGTGCGGGGTGATTGCGCCAGAAGCGCTGCGCACCCCGATCCTCCTGCTTGTCCGCGCGTCAGGAGGCTTCCTCCCACGGCGGATTGGATCCGAGGCTAGGGAGGGACGGGCCGGTAATCTTCGCCCCTGCTGAAATGTCGCCCCCCAAACGTAGCTTTCGCCCGGGAGCGCAGGGTGGCGCGCAAAGGGACTCCTTCCTTTTATCGTCCAGCCCCCGGAGATAGTGCCTGGCTCGAAACCAGGACGGTTCGCAGCGGGACCGCTCTCCCTTCCAACGGCCCGCTCCAGCGGCTGCCTTTTGCAAGCCAGATAGCACCTGGGGCGCACACGCAGGACGAGGCCAGCCTCGGCCGCGACAGTAGCCCACGCGCACCAGGCAGGCGCGGAAAGCGTGCCCAGGCGCAGGCTAGGATAGCCCCGGAGGCTGCTCTCGCTCGCTCGCTCTTACCTGGTCCAGGTGTGCTGCTGGGCGCAGAGCAGCAGCAACGAGGGGAAAACCCAGGTGAGCGATTCCATCTTTGGCCGAGAGGCAGAGTCAGGGACATTGACTGAAGGGGCGAGAGAGCGATGTAGGGCAGGGAGTTCTCGAGAGTCCCTTCGGGTGCGGGGCGACGGGTGCAGCTCGGAGGGCAGCGCGGCGCGAAGGTCGGTCCTGCTCCGCACAACGAAAGTAAAGGGAGGGGGGAAGGGGGGGAGCCCCCGAGAAGTTGCAGGCTCCGCTGCCTCTCCAAGCGACGTGGCTCCGCAGCAAGCAGAGGCGCGCACGTTCGCAAACTGGAAGTGAAGCGGAGTAGGAAGGGAGAGGGAGAGAAGGGCCGGGCGCTACCCCGGGCGGCCTCCTCTCCCTCCCGCGTGCCTGCCAAGGGCACCCTCGGGAGCGCCAAATAAAATTCGAGGGCAGTTGTTCCTCCTCCTCCTCCTCTCCTAGCTCTCCATCCCTCCCTCGCTGGTTCGGCCACTCCGGAAAACGAGGCAGCGGCTGCCGCTTTAAATAAGGAAAAAAAGAAAGAAGCTAGGCACAGAACTGCACAAAGCTGGTGGCCGAAAATAAACCCCTTCGGAAATTACAGATTTTGAGTGTTACCAAAGGAGCGCAACAGCTGGAGGAGGAGGAAGAGAGGAGGAGGAAGCACGTTTACACGTGTTCACTGAGAGCCTAGATTGAGATGGAGAGACCCAAGCGGGGGGTGGGGAGAGAAAGGAAAAAGGGAGAATGATGGAAAGACTGAAAAGGAAGGGAGGGAGGAAAAGTGCAAGAGAAAGGGAAGGAAGATCAGCCAACAGAGGTGAAACAAAACAGTTGCATTTGGAAAAAAGAAACGAGGAGGGTGAACTGCAGAGAAGAAGGTTCTGAAGAGCAAAAAGCAGGGACAGGCTGAGGACAAGCCGTGAAAACCCAGGATGAGCTTTTTCCTTCTTTCCCAGAAGATGGCAAGCTGTTTTAGGCATGCTGGCCGGCATGGAGGTGAAATACAATGCTTCTCTTCCCCTCCTCTCCCCCCATTTTCTTTCAACTCCCAAAGTCGGCTGGAGGGGGGCAGGAATAACTCAGAATGCCCAATCGCATTTTCTACCAAATCTCTAACTCAACCTTTGGCAGCTGCCGTTCAATGACATGCTGAGCCATGCTTCATAGAGCTGGGGTTGGTTCAATCTAATTTTCTGGGTGCACAGGCTCCCCTGAACTATAAACTAGCTTTCTAGACCAGGTTCCCACAAATTGTGATGGGTTAGTTTGTAGCTTTGAGGTATGGGACCTGCGTGGCATACCTGCCGGACAAGAAATGGGCAGTCTGGGTGCTTAGGAAAAAGGGGCAGGGCTGAGAAATTCCTGCAGAAGTCTTGACCCGCCTAACCTTTGAAAACAATTACCCCAAAGGTATTAACCTGTTTTTTGTTTGTTTGTTTTTAATAATCCTGGAAAGATTCATGGGACAATCACTTTCAGACAAACTACTTCATAGGATTGTGGTTATGAGGAAAAATAGAGGGAACATAGTGTATGCTGTGCCTCTTAGCATGGTTTCAGAAGTTGATAGGGTGCATTCTGTGTCTTTTCCAAAAATCTGTCGTGTGTATAAAAAGGCAGTGTCAGAAACCCAAATGTCAAAATGTGATGGCCAAGTTCATAGGCTGTGTTAAGCCATAGCTTGATTTAGCCATGGGGACCTCCATTCACATATTACATCAAGCCATAAACCTTGGTTTGCACATTACAGCTTATAAATTCTACTATTGCAATACTCCAAAACTTGGCAAAAGGCCTAATAATTTAGCATGATGTATGAATAGCCTGAGATATCCCATCTCTCACTTGGTTTGAACTCACCCACCTATTAGCAAGTAGCCCCCAATGAGAGAATCCTGGCTCTATGAAGAAAGGGTTTCGATCCCCAATTTAGGCTCAGCTAACCCAACATCCTGAGCTGTGATTAACATATGGTTCAGTGGGCCAGGCAGATCCAGAAAAGTGGCTTGAGAACACAGATAAAAGATTGGGCAGTCTAGTTTGTTGTTTTAAGAAGAGCACATTCTGACTGATGTGCCTATCCTGTTTTTTGGGGGTTTTTTGGTCTAGCTTTTGTAACGGGAGGAAATGTTGCATCGACTGAGGAGTTCGTGTGAATGTTTGGAAATTTAGAGCAGATGTGAGCTCACTGGATAAAATAAATTAATAAGGAGGATGAATTACATCTGGCAGAAGCTGGGAGGAACTCATGGGCCCCTGGGGTGTCCTTTGTTTCAGCCAAGTAAACCGGAGTCACACCTCATAAGTCATTTTTGGGCCCTAGAGTCAAATCTCTTTCAGTTCATTGTTTTCTAAATCTTTAAGAAGCTATGGGGATTGGTTTACTATTCTCTTTTCAGCCAGATGGCCGGTATCTTTGGAACCAGCATTTGCAGGATAAAACCTGCCCCATCCTGGATGCATTTACTACTAACCAAATGCCTGAGAATTTCATTTAATTATTTATCAGACAACTTCTCTTTCGAAGTGGTGCACAGGACCGTTGCCACATGGCTGAGAATGCTTCCCTTGGAGCCAGGCTTCCTAACTTACCTGATGAAACATTTTTAAAGTTTCCTTTAATTAAAAATTTCAATAAATGGAAACAGAATTCTGCACAGCCAAGCATCTGTCCCCAGCATCATCTTGATTTCCAAGAATGCCTCAGGGCCCCATGCTGGCCTCATAGATCTTTTGAGAACATAAAAATAGTGTCTAGTGCTTAGTTTGAAAGTCTGACCTCTTGCCCCCTCTCCCCAAAAGACTGAGCTGGCACACTGGAGGTCATTCTGAGGGCTCGGTGTCATAGCCTGAGAGAAGATATTGCCAGCCAGATGTAGAATATGATGAATGCCAGGTTCTCTTTACGTGCCCTTTGGAGAGCTCAGACAATGACTCTTCTGTAGGCCTTTGGAGTTCCCCAGCCACACATGAGTCAGCGATATCAGAAATGGCCAAGGGCATTTGAAATGTAGGATCATTAGAAGTAGAGCTGAAGAACCAACTTCCAATTTTTATTTTTATTTTTTAGCCCTCCTTGGCTACAAGCCCTGCTGGAGCAACTCTTCCATTCTTCAGAGAGTGAAGGCAGGCTTGGGAACTATGTGTGGTGAGCTCTCCAGGGTCCTGAAAGGCTACAGTCCAGACCTGTTGGCGCGTTGTCCACTCTGCGGCTGGCTTTGCCTAGCACACTTAGCTCGGCTATTGAATTAACCCATTTTCTGGGTTCACAGAGTACATGGACCTACAGATGAAGCAAATGGGCTGGCTTCATACAATGCACTAAGCCTCCTCCTCCCCTCTCCCCAAAGTCACTAACCACATATAGCATGATGGACAATATAATATAAATAATGGATAGCAGCCGTTGGGTTTCCAACTAATTTATATAAATGTGGAGTTAGCTTTCTTGAAGTCTTCAGGGTGGCCAGAAGGAGGGTGGGAATGACCATGGCTGGCAGATTACATGGACACACGCGTGCAGTTCTGTTGCCAACAGTACAGAAGTGGTCTGCCATTGTCTTCCTTTAGGGTGTTTTTCAAATTTGCCATCTAGTTGACAACTCTGGATCTTCTGATGGTCTCCTATCCAAGTACTAGCCAGATCTGACCCCAATTAGCTTTTTTCTCAAATCAGCTGTGGTTGACTATGGGTTGCCACTTAGCTGAGCAGCGTGCAATTTCGTTCCTAATTATCGGACAACTCTTGTAGAATTCCATTCCATTGCAGGACATATGCTTTCTTCATCTGAGAAGATGTTTCCAAAGGCTTGAGGATTTCTGAGATAGGTTTCAGAAGGCTTTGCCTCTTTTTTATTGAAATATAAAAGTCTACTGCAGCTGTTTTAGCTTTTGCTAATGGAGCATTTTCCAAGAAGTGCCTTCCTATTGACATCCTGACAGCCAATCCAGTGAGGAAATAAATTAAATACCTCCTTCTGCCCACTCAATGCAGACCATCAATAATTAGTGTTGCTCTATAGATGCCCAAGTGGGTGATTGCTGTGTGGCAGTGTCTCCAAATGCCTGTGAACACTGAACCCTCATGCCTATTTTTATATGCCAAGCTGGAGAGATCAATAGGGCTTTCTCTCCCAGACAGAGGATTTAGATCCCTTTCAGGAGAGGATGTCTCCAGAGGGAATTGCCTCCAATTTTACATTTAAGATCAGCATCCCTTGAAGAATATTTCCATGAACCTGTCCTTTTAATCATGGTCAGGAATGCCAAGAGGAATGGAGTCAAAATTAGGATATTGAGGGGGAAAAAAAAGAATCCCAACACTTGGCAGAACCTTGAAGCTCGCAGATGTACAAAATATCTTTGCTATTTTTAAGTTGGCTCATAAAACAGCTCTGTAAAAATTAAGAGCAAAGTCAAAATGTGCAATTGTGGTCAAAGTGACTGTTGCTATGAAGGCATTGCCTGAATTTATTGTCTAATTATGGCAAAGAAATGGCTGTGCTTTCTAGTTACAGCAGCACCTGACAAGAACCTAGGACTTGATGAAAGTATGTTAATGGTTGGGTGGGTTCTCACCCTACATTAAGCCATTATTTAAAAATAGCTTTCTGAATACATCATAATTGGCCATGTTCACCCCAAAGCCATAAGCCATGATTGAGAAACCAACAGTAGGTTCACATATTGCACTCAGCAAAAAGCAAACAAACCACTTTATAGCTTAGCATTGGCACTTTATGCTAAGTGTAAGCACAACCGTAGCACTGTGCTTTGTAATCCGTGGTTTATAGCTGAGTGAGTTGTGTGAACCCAGGCGATAATGGTTTAGTCAGTGGGCCCCAACCACACCATAGCTTAGCAGAGTGCAGGAGTGAATCCTGGGATTATATTGCAATCATCCAGAGAAGTAGTTCAGGCCACACTTTGAGACACTCTACCTGCCGTTAAAAAGCCAACTCTACGTTGCAATTTTCCTTCCTAAACTGCCCAAAACGTGCCATTCTAAGAATGGAAGCAGCATGCAACGATATTCCATATTTGTAAT